TATAAATCATATATACATTAATTAATTCTAATATTTAAAACTCAAAATTGTTTTAATTTGAATATCATTGAACGTTAATATTATTGAAGTTAAGTTTACACTTACCAAAGGTTTGCATTCCCCGGGCTGTAGCTCATTTTGTTTATTTAGTTTCTGTTGTATTATGATAGTAATGATAATAATAAGTAATAATTAGTTAATTTACCTAAAATGCTTACACAAATGAATGCCCTACAAATTTGTGCCATATAATTTTAATCATAATTGTTCAAATTACGATATAAGAACATAATTCTAATGCACATACGATATGTCAATTCGTGATCGAAGTTCTTATTCATGAATATTAATATGTATAAATAATATTATCTCATATCAAGTATACATACATATATTAGCAGCTCTGAAACAAGTGGATATTTGGTCCATTTTATATAAGTACATGTACAGATTCGAAAATTTTATTTTTGTAAACATTTAGACTACACAAAACTACAAATGGCATAAGTAATGCATACATAATTATTATTTTTCAATACTTTTTTTTTTTTTGTCTAATAAATTGAAATTTTTTACTTAGTTTTCATAATTATGCAATGTAATAAATAATATTACTGTTCATTTTATTTACTGTTTCTTTCCATTTAGTAATTTTTTTTGACATTTAATCATTATTAATTATTGTCATTAAATATGCGTCGCTTGAAAAATTGTTCATATTTTGTAATATGTTTTATTTATTAATTTCTTTTCTTTTTTTTTTTTTTTTTTTTAATTATACTTAAGCTATTAAGTATTTACAAAGCTCAACTTCGAACAAGAACTTTAAACGGCATTGAATTTGTGTGTGATTTTTCCTTCTGTCATAAAATTTGTGCGAATCTAGTTTTATTCAATATATTTATATATATTAATGTCTTTTTTGTTCTTAACACAAATCTGCGCTTTTTATACAAATCTCTATGTTTCTTTTTACTTTTCAATATATATATTTTTCTATTTGGAAGTGCATAAACAATCTATAGCAAATGGCTTGAAATTTAGTTATTTGTATAATTATGAATTAATTGCATAACAAGTTTACTTAGCTTTAAATATATATATTTATATATATGGCTAAGTATGAAAATGTAATTTAAATTTGAACTCAATTTAATTTAATTATATTCAAAATTATTTACATCATGATGTATGCTAATTAATACGTTTAACGGAATAATATCCAAATTGTTTGTGTTTATTTTCTGTGCTTGTTGTTTCTTGTTTGTTTGTTGATTTTTCGATATGTCTGGCGCCCTCGCAGACAATCGTTGCAAAATAAATTCGTTGATGTCTTGTGACAGCATTTACAACTGTTGCAAAATTTGCGTCTTGGCCGCTTTTAGCCGCAAACCAAATGATGAGGCCAGCCGACGATAACGCGAGTGGATTGTCTCATTCCCATCTTCATCGGAATCACTGTCGATATCGTCATGCTGCTGCTCGTCCTCAAGCACTCATCGTTTGCGATTATAGGAGCCAAGCATTGACTGCCTTCATTCTTTCATCTCGTGTCCACTGGTGCCCAGCTCGAGGAGCTCATGGGGCTCGGCATTTAGCTATGTATATATATATGTGTGTGTATTTATAAGTTTTATATTTATATATTTTAAAACTAATATTCTACATCTATGAGAGATGCGTACTCACCCGATCAACGCTTGCCAAATCGTTCTTTGACAGATGATTTACCAAAATAGTGCCCAGAGCATCACACATGACATTGATAGTGGTACGGAATCGATCCCTAAAGCAATCAAATTTCAATAAATGTCAGTCAAGTAAAAATTTTGACATCTACATACAGTAGCCAATCGACAGCGATGATCAGCGAGACATCCTTGGGCTCCAGGCCCACAGTGTCCAGTACCATGACCATTGTAACGAGGCCCGCCTGTGGTATGCCCGCCGCACCAATTGAGGCAGCCGTTGCCGTTATACTGACAGCCACAATCGTGCCAAACGAATAGCTCATCTCACGATATTGGGCAATGAATAATGCAGCCACCGCCTCATACAATGCAGTTCCATCCATATTAATCGTAGCTCCCACGGGTATGACAAATCGTGTCACACGTGGATCAATGCCCATATTATCCAGGCATTTAATGGTCAACGGCATGGTGGCCGAGCTGGAGCCCGTGCCGAAGGCAGTGGCCAGCACTTGACTCAATTTGGCTATAAAGCGATACGGCATGCGACGTGTGCCCAAAAAGAAGATGACTGCAATTGTGCCTGAAATTGATTGCAAATCAAAATTTCATTAATCAACTCAACTTAGTCAACGTTGCACACATTGGTAAGTCACTTACCAAATCCATGCAGGAAGAGACCAATCATAACGGTTATGAAATACCAGCCTAAAGATTGTATTGTCGCTGCTATAGACTCCATCTCAATGATCTTGGCCGCGATCAAAAAGGCCACGCCCAACGGGGATATCCTGCAAATTAATAGCAAATTACCATTTAAACTCTAACTCAACTTTTAACCTCTTTTATTTTATAGGGTGCTTACCAAATGACCCACGATGTTATTGTCATCATGGCCTCACTGAGCGTCGTAAAGAAGTCCTGCAACAGTTGGCCCTTCTCACGCATACGGCCTATGGTTGTGCCCAGTATTACGCTGAACATGACCAGCCCCAGCACATTGGAGCCCTCACGCTGTGCCGACTTGAACTCCCAGTTCTCCATGGGCTCTAAAAGGCATATTTACAAATTACAAAGTAAGTATCATATCGTTTCGCTGAGTGACTCAGGGGACTTACGTGCTGGCGTAATGCTGGTGTTCTCAAATATCTCTGTGCGATGCTGTAAGAAAATGAATATAAAATGTAAATATTGAATTCATTTATTTTGTATAAATTATTATATTTTTAAATTATGTTTAATTAAAACCAGAGCAGACTTTAATGGATTATATTTACAATATTTCTTTCTTTCCATATGAAATTCATCATTTTAAAATATTTTATAATCTCTCTCTTTTTATCCATACTTCACATAGAAAATTTATTATTTTAAATTTATCACTAATTTCATTAGGTTTAACTAACACAATTTATTTAAGAGACCCTGATAATTATATTCCAGCTGATCCTTTAGCAAGACCAGCGCATATTCAATTTGAATGATATTTTTCATTTCTGTATGCAATTTTACAATCAATTCCTAATAAATCTTTTATATATTATTTTTATTTCGAACTCTTTCAATTTATTATAATACGTGCATACATAGCCTATATAACACAATCTGTGATAAATATTAAAACAAATTAATGAAACATTATCCTTGCGCTTAGAATATATAATATATTATCACTATGTTAAATAATTATAAAAATATAAATAAATATAGAGTATTCAAAAATTCTTTATAAAAATAATTATACAAAATATTATACAAGTTACTGGTAAATTTTAATCTGTCCATCTAAACTGATAAAATACTATATGGGCACGCCAACTAGAAGCAGAAACCCATAATCTATCTCAACTTTGGAACTGTTGACCTTCTACAGAGATAGACCTATAAATTATGTATGTATATGTGGCGACTCATATCGCCCATTGAGGCATGGCACATTAACACAAATGAATTTAAGTGTGTTTGGGGCATGAAATTATTAATTAGAATTACTAGAATTTATATGCCTTACACATGTTTTCTGTATTGCATGGACAGACCTAGCTAAGTAAGGGGCACAATTTGAAAGCGACAATAATCTAATAGCATTTTATTGTTACCTATTGAGATATTTATACTCATGCCCAAACGCAGACGACCGACAGTCGAGTTGAACTTTGATTCAATTCGCGCTTGATATATGTATGAATATAGTATATATGTATGTATGTATATATAAAATGTATACATACATATGCATATATCGTAATTCCAGCTTTGTCTGTGGTGATAATTGAAAATTCAACGTGTACGTAAATTAGATATATGTATATATATGTATATGTATATATATATGGTATGATATGTACGCATGTGTGTGGTATTTGTGTCTGTGTGTGTATGTGTGCTCCCCCTTTGCATATAATTTTCAATTTCAATTGAAACGGAAAGAACTTTGCTTTGGAGTAGCCTATCATGTCAGTTTTGATTATGTGCCGCGCGATGCTTTAATCAAATTATGTAAACAACACAGAAGAGCACAATTGAATAATTGACGCTGTTGCAATCCGAAATTGAGCAAATGAGTGTGTGTGGTGTGTGTGTACAGCTCTGCTCCATAAATCGAGTCCAAGAAGTAAATACCTGCGCGCCTCAGACTCAGAGTCGTGTGTGATAATGCCAAAGTAAGTCTTTAGAAGTAGAAAAAAAGAAGAAGACAAAAATGATAGCCGCACCTTAATCGCCTTTCAGAGACGTGCCGTTGCCGCTTTGGATAAAAGAACGAAGTTTTTGCGTTTCTTCTGAAAGTGAAGTTCTCTGCAGATTGAAATTGTTTTTTTTTTTTTCTGATAGCGAAGCTCAGTGCAGATAGACCAATTCTGGGAGATAAAAAATAATGCTGGTATTCATTCATATAAAACTTTTTTATGCTTGAGAGTATTATGCATATTTATAGCTCAAAGTATTTTCAGTTACTGTGTGTGTGTGTTGTTGTTTTTTTTTTTTTTTTTTTTTTTTTTTTTTTATTAAGAATAACAGTACTTTTTAAATATGTATACGCTGCTTAATATTTTATTAACGTAATTCATTATATTA